AAAGCGTCGCCGGCCGGCCGGCCTGCCGGCGCGCGCGGAACACCATGAATTCACTCGTGCCAAGTGGAAGAGGTACGATAACCTTCGCATTCGTGACCTTGGACTTAGAGGTGTACCCGGGGCCCCCCGTGTTCACGTTTGCGCGCGCGCTAGCGTGTCTCTTTTTTATTTCCCCTCGCCTGTCCTCCTCTTGCCACACTGTTTTTCTTCCGTTTCACTCGTCTACGCTATCCTCGTGTCCGTCTGTCTGACTTGCGAGCGCTCAGGTGAAACACGACCGTTCGGTCGGACCGATCTAATTAGAGGGACGACATCCTTTCATCGTCGGTCGTTCGCGGATCGCAACCGGCGAGGGTGGCGGGAGGGAGGGAAGAAGAGAGAAAGGCAGAGCGTCACGTGGGAGTAACCTCGTGAAGACGACCTAACGCCGAGACGAGAACAACTTCCGGCTTGTATTGTCGTGGGTGAGGTGTCGTCGAATGGCTAGCTCTGACCGTCGGTTTTGCTCTGTTCCGATTGTTTCGGCAGATGATTCTCGAACGAGGTTGCGTGGGGATGATTAGATCATGGGTCTTTTGGGGATTGTGATTAGGCTTTCGAGAATGTTATTAGGGAAACAGAATCGATGGAATATGGTTCTTCATAGTGAGAATTGTAAGAAATAGGATGCTTCGGATGTTTCTCTTTTTTTAATTTCGTGCATTATGTGCAATTTTTGCACTTCGTTTGAAAATTTTCTGTGCAGTTTGCTTCCGTGCAATTTGATGTTTTGAGAATTGATGGAATTCAATTGAGAGAACTGAAATTAGCACTAGGCTAATAATTATCTGATATAATTAATTGATTGTATGTAATTGTAGTGGTTAAAATTGTAAATGTTCGTAATTAAAGGATATAATACAGCAAATATAGAAAATTTTATATCATATGAATTATGTTATATGATTGTACATAATTATATAATTCAATTTTCTGATTGCGTGTAAGGTTTGAAAAAAATTGTTGCCGGTAACGTGTACTTTTCTGCAATTAGGAGTACTTCGAGGTGCACACGTTTAACGTGATAACAGAGATGATTACTGTCGTTCTGAAAATTTATAATCTATCCCGTTAAACTTTTGCTTTATGGCTCCTTTTAAAATTGTACTCGTCGTTTATGGTTAATAATTTTTTACAAGGAAAAAGAAATTTTATGATCACGGTGAAATAACATTTACCTGTTTAACCTTTACTTCAAAGGTTAAATATTCATAAAAGAATAGTAATATTTGGCTTCAATATAAGAGAATTGAGTAATATTCGTATCCTTATTAGATTCAATTTGAAATCCACATCGCGAGTCTGACACGATATTACAAGGCAAGAGGTTAAATCCGCTTCGCTATGCCTTATTATGAAACCCGCCATGTTCCTCTTAAAACCTGAATGCATTCTTTTATTATAATACTGCGCAATTCTTTACTGGCTTACCTCCTTCTCGTAATATATGCATACAATAACGTTCAACGTATAAAAAATTGTACAGCTTGAATATTTAAAAAAGAAATATATATTGCGAATATTTTATGTTACATTATGAAAATTTTCTTTCATACAACGTGTATAGTACGTATGAAATAACATGTCCTAGTATGTGCATGTAAAGCAGAAAATTCGATACTTTCGTTGTATTAAAATGAAATAAAGTACACGTTTTTTTTTTGTCATATAAAAGAAAACATATTTATACGAAACTCGTATAACGTTTCCCGTGTTACATAATTTTTCTCTTAATTAAAAATTTTCGCTACAAAATTAAAATTGTAAATTCATTTAATAATTTTTTTGTAGTAAAAAGTGTTTGTTTCATGCATACATAAAATCCGCAGGAACTAGGCAAAGTAAGCGCTTCCGTGAGATAATTAATTCTCGTTGTGAAATGCCCCTGCTTAGACCGTGGATTTTTATGCAGATACGAATAATGATAAACTTGGTTAGAGAAACTGGGATTGAATTGAAATTAGTTTCCTTTATTGTAAGTCTCATTATCGCGATAGTAATGCGAGAACTATCTGAAACTTCAGTGAAACCGTTTGTTCTGTGTTTTATGAAATTTGCTAAATAATAACGGAATCCACGATAAAGCGAATGCATGTGTCATCAATTTTAGTTTTTGTGAACCTTCGAAAATGTGTATTTCTATCTATATTTTTCATGTTCTTGTTGAAACTGCCCTCTGATACTCATAAAAAAGAAATTTAACCCTCGCATTCGATTTATTTTCAGTTGTTGGGTGTGAACTTGTATACATTCTTAGGGAACTGAATTAAAGTATTTTACAGCGGTAGAAATCAACATCTTATATGTATGTTATTCATTGTTATTATAATAAAATTTAATTTTTATAATCTTTTAAAACGTTCTACTTTTTAAAGTACCACAAATAAAGTATAACAAATTTGTATTGTCATCTGCAACATGACGTAAGAATGAAAAGGGTGAAATATTATTTAAGAATATTAAAATAAATACAAAAGTAGAACGGAATGTTCAATGAAATCCAAAAAGATAGAAAGAGAGAGAAGAAGGTGAATACGACGAAGAGAACAACCTTTTAAACGACCGTTATTTTTCTGTCCACAGGGATGCCGGTTGACTGAAGATGGCCTCGCCGACACTCTCGCTGGAATCGCGCGCGAATTCCATCGGGTCCCTGGCCTCGCTGTCACCGCTTACAGTAAGCGGCAGTTCTCCGCCTGCGAGCGACTCGGCGATCTGCGACGTCGACAGCTGCGATCTCTGCCTCGACTCACAGAAACCTGGGGAGGCGCCCTGCCCGCGTTGCCGATTGGGAGGCGCCGGCGGCGTACGCTGCACCGGCTGCAAGTCGACCGAATCCGACGCCGTAGCTCGTTGCATAGACTGCGCGAACTTCCTTTGCCCGAACTGCGTGATGGCGCATCAGTTTATGCACTGTTTCGAGGGTCACCGAGTCTTGAACCTCGGCGACTCGAAGCTGGAAACGGTGACCAGCTCCGCGAGCACCGAGCTGCCTAAGAACAGCCTGGTGATCAACGGCGGGAACGGGAACGGCGAGAAGGTGCCCTATTGTCCACGTCACAAGCAAGATCTTCTCAAGTACTTCTGCCGCACCTGCACCGCCCTGGTGTGCAAGGAGTGCACCATCACCGATCATCCGGCTCCTTTGCACGACTGCGCGCACATCTCCGAGGTCGGCACGCAACAGCTAGACGCGATGGCTAGAGTGGTGCAAGAGTGCAGAGCTAAAGCAGCGGATGTCAGGGCCGCGGTGAAAGCAGCGGATCATGGAGCAGCAAGGCTGCAGGTGCAGTACCACAAAGCGCAGAACGAGATCAACGACACCTTCCAGTTCTACAGGTCCATGCTCGAGGAACGGAAGCAAGAGCTGCTGAAGGAGCTCGAATCGGTGTTCTCCACCAAGCAGATCTCCCTCGGTGTGCTCACGCAGAAGGCTAACGAAATGGCGGACAAGATCCTGCAGACCTGCGAGTTCGTCGAACGTCTAACCAAATACACTACCGTCACCGAAGTGCTGATGGTCAAGAAGCTTCTAGATTCGAAGCTTCAGCTGCTGTTGAACTATACGCCGGATATTGGCAGTCAGACGGTCGATCTCGAGTTCGTCAGTAACTATCAGGCGATCCAAGTGGGCGTACGGAACACGTTCGGATACGTTCGCAGTAACAATGAGAGCAACGCTGGGCCCATCGGCAAGCAACCGCCTATCGCTCGACCGACCGCGTTGTCCAGTAACGGCAACAACGGCAGTAACTCCAGCAACGGACCCAGCACTGGATCCTTGGGCGGTCTCCTGTTGGATAGACCGTACAGCAACGGCCTGATACCTTCTACCTCAACCTGTGCTTCATCCACCTCGCCGTCGTCGTTCGACACCAACAGCAGCGTGATCACGAAACGTTTCAGCTCGGCGAACAGTCTGGGACCGTTCTCGACGGCGATCAGCGACCTGAACCTGAACGGGATCAACGCGAACCCATACGAAAAGTGGAGCAACGGCGGCAACGACGCTTATCCGGTAGTAACCACGAACGATCATTTCTCGATGCCAACGTCCGCGGCCGCAGCAGCGAATGCAGCATCCGGCGACTCGGTCCTAGATCTAACCTCGAAGTTGATGTCCGCCGCGGCGATCTTCCCTCCGAAGTCCCAGATCAAACGTCAGAAGATGATCTACCACTGCAAGTTCGGAGAGTTCGGCGTGATGGAGGGTCAGTTCACCGAGCCGTCCGGCGTCGCGGTGAACGCGCAGAACGACATCATCGTCGCGGACACGAACAACCATCGCATCCAGATCTTCGATAAGGAGGGCAGGTTCAAATTCCAGTTCGGAGAGTGCGGCAAACGGGATGGTCAGCTGCTGTACCCTAACCGCGTCGCGGTGGTGAAGACGTCCGGCGACATAATCGTGACCGAACGCTCGCCCACTCACCAGATACAGATCTACAACCAGTACGGGCAGTTCGTGCGCAAGTTCGGCGCGAACATTCTGCAGCATCCGCGCGGCGTCACCGTCGACTCGAAGGGCCGGATCGTGGTGGTCGAGTGCAAGGTGATGCGCGTGATCATCTTCGACCAGGCCGGCAATGTGCTCCAGAAATTCGGTTGCTCCAAGCATCTCGAGTTCCCGAACGGAGTGGTCGTGAACGACAAACAGGAGATCTTCATCAGCGACAATCGGGCGCACTGCGTGAAGGTGTTCAATTACGACGGGGCGTATCTGCGCCAAATCGGCGGAGAGGGGATCACGAACTACCCAATCGGCGTCGGGATCAACGCGATAGGGGAGATCTTGATCGCGGACAATCACAACAACTTCAATCTGACGATTTTCACCCAGGACGGCCAGCTGGTGTCCGCCCTCGAGAGCAAGGTGAAACACGCTCAATGCTTCGATGTCGCATTAATGGACGACGGATCGGTCGTGTTGGCCAGCAAGGATTACCGGCTCTACATTTATCGTTACGTACAAGTACCACCGATCGGCATGTAGAGCAGCGAGCCGCAGCGACGCCGACAATGATCGTCGATCGCCGGTCAATCGACCGTCGGTCGTTGCCCCCCATTATTCTCGCCGGGATTGTTTTCGACGGCCCGCGCGCACCCGGGCCTGGATCTCATCGGTCTTTTATTATATACGTATATATATATAGACTTTTTTTTCTTTTTTTTT